AACTCACTCCCCATTCACTGCATCTCTCCTGAACTCACTGCACCTCTCCTGAACCCACTCCCCATTCACTGCATCTCTCCTGAACTCACTCCCCATTCACTGCACCTCCCCTGAACCTACTCCCCATTCACTCCACCTCACTCCCCATTCACTGCACCTCTCCTGAACTCACTCCCCATTCACTGCACCTCTCCTGAACTCACTGCACCTCTCCTGAACTCACTCCCCATTCACTGCACCTCTCCTGAACTCACTCCCCATTCACTGCACCTCTCCTGAACTCACTCCCCATTCACTCCACCTCTCCTGAACTCACTCTCCATTCACTCCACCTCTCCTGAACTCACTCCCCATTCACTCCACCTCTCCTGAACTCACTCCCCATTCACTGCATCTCTCCTGAACTCACTCCCCATTCACTCCACCTCCCCTGAACCCACTCCCCATTCACTCCACCTCTCCTGAACTCACTCCCCATTCACTGCATCTCCCCTGAACTCACTCCCCATTCACTCCACCTCTCCTGCCCTCCCCCAACTCCACCTTTCTGCTCCGACTGACAGGAAACAAGTTGCAGGTAATTGTTACTATTATTCTTAACTTATGTAAAACAGGAAAACAACAGCTCTGCTAAACCTGCTGGTGTCCCCCAATGTCCCCCTGGTTCTGGGATTTGTTCTGTCTGTCTGGTTTCCCCCGGGGGAGAGTTTGATTCCCCCTTCCCCCTCCTGTTTGTATTTTTAGTTTCTTACTCCCAACGTTTCATAGAAGTGAAACATTTTTACTGTTTGGGAAATAAAGCTACTTTACCCTTGTGCATTTATAAACAATACTCTAATTTATAAACAATAAACAATACTCTAATTTATAAACAATACACTAATTTATAAACAATTCTCTGTATTGTGTTGTTTTATAAGCCAAGTACTCTGCGTAGAAAAAAAAAAAAAGTACTATTATTAATTATTAAATGTTTTTTGCAGTTTGAAAGTAAGGAAAAATGGAGCCTTCAAAGAATATTGTGAAAATTGCTATCCAGATGATGGGGGCTTATCCCCAACTTATTGAACTGAATCAGGTATTATCTTTCTATTGCAACACACAGCAACCGCATTCTCTGTCTATTGCGAAACACAGCAATCGCATTCTCGGTCTATTGCGACACACAGCAACCGCATTCTCTGTCTATTGCGACACACAGCAACCGCATTCTCTGTCTATTGCGACACACAGCAACCGCATTCTCGGTCTATTGCGACACACAGCAACCGCATTCTCTGTCTATTGCGACACACAGCAACCGCATTCTCTGTCTATTGCGACACACAGCAACCGCATTCTCTGTCTATTGCGACACACAGCAACCGCATTCTCGGTCTATTGCGAAACACAGTAACCGCATTCTCAGTCTATTGAGAGACACAGCGACTGCATTTTCCATGTGTGGAGTTATGCAATAAATGCATTCTCTGTGCATTAAGTTATGCAGCGACTGCATGACAAAGCAAAATCATTCTATGTGCATGGCATAATGCAGTGGCCACAATTGACAATTGACATAATTCACGGTGACACAATAACCACATTTGTTTGTATTAAAATGATCCAACACTCTATACCACGTCTTTTTCTGTGACCTCATTTTAATTAATTTTAGTGTCACAGGTATAACGTGGATCAATCTTAGTGTGTGTATATATATATTGGTTTTGGACACTGGTCTTTGCCAGTGGCTTTATTAACACCACGTGCACGGTGACAGTGATCACATTTGACATTCCCCGTGCGAGACAGTGATCACATTTGACGTGCACGGTGAGACACAGTGATCATATTTGATTTGCACGGTGACACAGTGATCACATTTGACGTGCACGGTGACACAGTGATCACATTTGACGTGCACGGTGAGACACAGTGATCACATTTGACGTGCACGGTGACACAGTGATCACATTTGACGTGCACGGTGAGACACAATGAACATTACAACACAAATACATGCAGGATAAATTCAAATCAATAACTAAACTGAAATGATATGTAGTGTCTCCACATTGAGGCATTGTCACATGAGAATAATGTAATCCAAGAATGTTTCAATAAATATCACAAACTTTTCATATCAGATGTGCGATCTCTGGCTCCGTTTTGTTAGCTATATTGCAAATGTCCTCATAAAACCTGTGGCATTTAACTTCCTTTTCACAAACCTACCAGTGTCAGACTAAATTTGTGGCCATTTCATTTAATACACAATAGATCTAGTATATGCAATAATGATTATATGCAATAACCCCGGTCTTGTTTCAGAGCAAACCTTTGTCAGCTGTCCTGAAGGACGTTTGTGATACGTAAGTATCATGGGAGTTGGCGTAGTGGGAGGGGTTCGCAAAGATTCACAATATTTTTTCTATCTCTAATGGGAAAACATTAAAACAAATGACAATTCTCCTATGGAAGATATAAGAGGGAGCTGATATGCACATTCTATAACCTGTAGGTGGAATATCGGTAATCCTGAACAGTACACACTACAGTATGTTGATGGACACCAGGAATACATCACGGAGCTGGTGAGTCCAATATCTGTCGTATAAACGTAGCACGTATAGCAGCTCAGATACGTGGATTACGGTGGGGCTTTGCCAACACGAACAGCTTTACTGTGTGCAGTGGGTGAGGAAAGTTTGGTGCGGAGAGATGATTGATTCTGTGGTGGTTTATAATTGACCAGGCATCGGCTTTGCCAGTAACGCTCTTCTCAGTGTGTCTTGTTTTGCTTTATTAGAACAGAATGGATATTAAGAATGGTAG